AAAGACTCTCCGAATCATTCTTCGTGCGGGGGGACGAGTAAGTTGGCAACCACAAGGCACTTGGCGCCCGGTTGTGGCGCTTTGGTGAAGCTAAGATGGCATCCCGCGGGCTTCCATTTTAGACCACAAAGGAAAGCCAACCTCCACGATGGCTAGGGTAAGAATGTTCGGACAATTTGACTCGAGCGTTGGACTTTGGGACGGATTAAACGGGAGGAACTTGGGTCTTGCGCTAAACAACCTACGATTCCTATTGCAGTAATTGTAGTAGAGCTACCGAGCTCTAAGATCAGCACGATATGCAATAGCACCGAGAAGTGGACATTTCCATTCGTTCCCCCACCTGAGAGATCGGCATAGAGTCCCTCAGAGCTGGCTGATCGTCAAGCTCTCCAGCTCTCCCCAGAGAGCTCGCCCACAACGCCTTGCCTAAATTCGCAAGAAACGTCGTTAGGCTCGTTGTCACGGACCCGCTCCAGAATCTTGAATGCCGGTAGCTTCGGACACGTTGTGGCGCACACTTTCCACGGCTAGTTCTGGTTCCTTTCTCATTTCAGTCCGAAGTTCTTTGAGATATAAGTAGCTCCGGATCCTGATCCGAAATTAAGATCTTGAACTCTCCAAGTCATCAGCTTCCAACTGACAATCTCATTAACTCTCTTCCAAGTCTTCAGTCTTTTCTTTCTTACTCAATCTTTAGCAGTACATTTCTACTTCCACAAAACTCCACATATCTATCACGATGCGCTCCCAAATTCAGCAACTCGCTCTGGCTGCGGCTCTGATGCAGTCCGCCGATGCCGCCCCGGCCGGCCTTCTCGACGGTCTCGGTGTCGTGACCCAGCTTCTGGCTCTCCCGACCGACTATGTTTCTAGCTTGACCGGGGTTCTTGGCACGAAGACCGGGAGCGGCGTCGGCGCCGGAGTTCTCAACGCCGGAGATCTCCAAACGAAGCTCGGATCGATCTGGAGCACGGGCAGCACCGGAGACTTTTACGGAAAGCTGCAAAAGCAGATCGGCCAAGGCCTCGTTCCGAACAACCTCCTCTCCAGCTTCCAGGGACTTCTCGGCACTGGCCTTCTGGGTAGCTTGGATCTGGCCAACAATGCCAACAAGCTCATTGCTCCTCTCAATGGCATCGATTCGACAAGCAACAACAACCCGGTGAACCCGGCCAAGCCCGTCTATCCCAAGAAAGATGCCACCGATGCGCCCTACACCCTCTCCGAGCAGCAGCTTCGCCAAGCCATCTACATCCCCAAGACTTTCACTTACGGTCAAAAGCCCCCTGTCATCTTCGTTCCGGGCACCGGTGTCTATGGAGGAGAGACCTTCAGCCCCAACTTGTTGAAGCTTCTTACAAACGTCCCCTATGCCGATCCTGTCTGGCTCAACATTCCCGGCGCTCTTCTTGGCGACGCTCAGGTCAACTCAGAGTATGTCGCATACGCCATCAACTACATTAACGGCATCAGCAACAAGAACTCGAGCATCATCTCCTGGTCCCAAGGTGGTCTGGACACTCAGTGGGCATTCACCTTCTGGCCGTCTACCCGCAACGCTGTCGCCAATTTCTTCCCCGTCTCTCCCGACTTCCACGGAACCGTTCTCGCCAACGATCTTTGCCTTTCTCCCGGAAACGGTGCCCTCGACGCTCCCTGCGATCCTTCTGTCATTCAACAACAATACACCTCCGTCTTCGTCAACACTCTTCGTTCCCGCGGAGGAGCCGACGCCTACGTCCCCACGACGACTTTCTACAGCGCCCTTCTCGATGAGGTTGTCGAGCCTCAACAGGGCACCGCCGCTTCCACCTACCTGACTGATGCTCGCCTTGTCGGTGTCACCAACATCGAGGTTCAGTCCGTCTGCACTGGCCGCCCCGCTGGCAGCGTCTATGGCCACGCGACGATGCTCTTCAACCCCTTGACTGCCGCCCTGATCAAGGATGTTCTCCAGAGAGGCTCGGGTCCAGCAAAGATTAGCAACATCAACCTCAATGACGTGTGCAAGGATTTCATTGCCCCTGGCTTGAACCTCGAGGATGGCATTGCTACTGCTGGTTCGATTGTTGCTGCTGGCATTCGCTTGTTGGCTTATCCCCCGAAGCTCATTGCTGAGCCCACTCTCATGGCCTACGCTCGTTCCTAAGTGGTCTCTTGTGTGAAAGGAACGTAGGTTCTACAGAGGTACACTTGTCATAATACTGGGTCGGCGGGACGAGCATGGGCGCTTAGGATGAAGTAATGAAGATGAAGATGGGAATGAAGCCAATGTAAATCTTATTTGTAACACTGTATTTAGGTGTATAATTGGTTATGTATAGACGTAATATGACTAGCTGAATCTCAACATGGCTACTGGCTTTGAAGCACTTGCTCTACATCGACGCTCCAAAGGAACTTGACTACCGTGGTCCTTCAAGGCAGGGCTATTAAAGACATTATGTTGATGCGCAACTTATTAAAGTTGCTTGGATGCCACAATGCATGTGAGGAAGCATCTAAAATCAAGAAGTTCTAGAAGACAGAATCACATCTTGGCGTCTCTCCCAATGCCTGTCTGCCCCACAGCAAATTCCTTTCTCTCGTCCACGGATAATCTCGTCTGAGCTAGTTCACCTGCCTGTGATTGTTCCTCTACAGTTGCAAGATTGTCGGTCTCTTCGACTGGGACGTGGTCTCTGACTACCAACCACGTAGGGTAAACAGCCAAAACTACATCAGTTAGCATAATTCTTGGGTCTAAGGTATTACGGACTTGGCTTACCCAGAAGTACGGTATTGACGGCAAGTGGCACTCTTCCTCCTTTCCACTTTTGTGTGTTCAGTCCGAATGAGACAGCCTGGGAGAAACTCTCCTGGCCTCGAAGGATACCAGAGAAGCGAGTGAGCTCGGAGATATTGTCTGTCTTGGTGGCCAGCAGGTAGTAGAGCCAACTCTGCAATGCTTGACGAGCAAAGTCCCACAATAAGAGCACAAAGAAGCCCTCGGTGAATCCCTTATCTTCCCAATCGTACGCAGGTGGGTTGCGGGTGTACTTCTCTTGGATGACCCAGCCGTAAACCCACGCAATGACGTGCCACACAATGACGTAGTAGAAGCCGATGGTGATGCGCTTCTTGACAGTGAACTTTTTGTAGTCGAGTAGGGTGCTAATCAGCTGCGACGAGAGAAGTGTGCCGAAGTTGCTGACGAAACCGATGAGTGCGCGAGCGCGGATGCCGAAGTAGTAAGACTGGAAGTTCCCGCTGTACTGGTTGAAGTACGCAGCCCAGAAGATGGGGAGAAGCAAAAGAATGTCCTTGCGCTTCGACACGCGGAGAAGCTCTCTGAACTCGGCCTTGAAGGACTTCTCGGCTTTGATGATGACCTTGCTGCCGTCGGATCTTTGGACCTTCTCCGGGGGAGATAGAGCAAGCGCAAGGGGCACGCTGAGGCATTGCAGTGCAACGAAGACCAGGTAAGTCTGATATCCAACCTTGCCCTTCTTCTTCGCAGCCGCATCGTTGTTGAGGGCCAATACAATGGCTCCACCAACAAGAGGACCACCGGTTCTGAACCAGAGCCAAATATTCATGTACTTGCCACGCTTAGACGGCTCTGGGTATCCCAAGGCAACAGCGCCCTCAGAAGCCCAGAACAAGCCGGCAGAGATGCCGCAGGCGGCAGCTCCGACAAGCACGAGCCAGACGTTGCCGTAACGGTTGTTGGTGTACAATCCAGCAGAGTAAAGTGGGTAGCCAACAGCTCCCAGCAACAACGTTCTCGAGAGGCCAATGCGGTTCGCGATGGGTCCACCGAATAAGCATAGGAAAGCCATGAGTCCAAAGACTAGCGCATTGGCGGCGTTGACGAGGAATGGTTCCTGGGCACCACCTGCGCCGAGGGCGTTCATCGCATTCCATAGACCGGGGGCCATGAAGCCTGAGTAACGTTAGTCATTCCTACTCTGACAGTGAGTGCACTTCAAGCTTGATATCATACCGACTCCTCCAATAACAAATGCATTGAACAAGGTGCTGTGGTACCACACCCGCTTCACCGGTGGGTCAGAGGCCACATCGTGGACGTCTGACGACACAGACTTGGGTGCTTCTTCCGCCATCTTCGAAGGTTCTTGGACTCGAGGTTGACGAATATCATCAAGACATGTTGCTGAGAACCATCATTCACTTATATGATATCTCGTGCCTCGGCTTCCATCGCCACTTTGACAACGGTCAAGCCATCTCATGTTCAAAAGTCCCTCCAAAATTTTCCCATAGGATGAACTCCTCATTCTCTACATGAATGACGAATATGCTAGTGCAACGTTGAATCCACCGTTCAAAGGACAACCGTGCAGCTCATTCGGCAGTTGATCATCGAGATCCACTAAACTCCGCGTGGGTTCCTACTCCTCGGTCGAACTCCGTCGGAAAATTAACCGCAACGGGTAGGTCTATCGCGAATTTGGCTGGGAATAACACGCCAAATCGCCTACAGATCTCGCGTAGGAACTGGCGTCTTGGCAATGGGAAAAGATGGAAAATCGTTTTTTGTTGAAAGTCGCGCTTATGAGCGGGACAAAGCTGGTCAAAGTGAGGGAACTTTTCCTCAGTCATTCTATCATGAGGGTCTAATGGTGTCACAAGTTATGGCACGCAGCAATGGGCATATGAAGTGTGGTAAAAGTGGCTTGTATTAACCCAAATAAAATCGAGCAAGGAAAGGTGCTATATAGGAACAAATGAGAGAATAACGTGATAACGCACGTGATGGGCTGATTACAGAGTGCTGATGCTATTCCTATTTCGTGACAAATGGTTTCAATACATTTGAAGTTGAAGACGGTAGCCTGTAATATAGTTTAGATTAGTATAGACCATGTCGGCATTGCGCCCGGCACGTCCTTTTGTTACCAGACGTTAAATACATCATCATCATCATCATCATCAACATTTGAAGTCGGGGCGCAAAGGCCCTGGTGTTCCATCAGGACAAGTTTGCATCCATTCTACAGCTTTGCTTGGATCAGCTTTGTTTCCTCTTCTTTCCTCTTCAACTCCTTCCACCACTTTTGCTTCAGCGCCAGAACGCCAAATCCCAACAACGCCCACTCGTCTTCCCATGCAGGCAACTCATAAGCATTAGTGTCCGGCGCAGGAGGTCCAGCAACGCCCCGTAGAAACTCAAAGTACTCCGAAAAGTCGGGCTTGATTTCGTGAAATTGGGAGGTTGGTCCCTTGTACTGCAGGCGCTTCACTTCCCACTCGTCTTGCTCCCGAGGAGAAGGCAGACCACCTCCTCGGTTAGCGAAATAGCGAGCCACGGCAACGGCCTGATACTCGTAAACGCGGAATGAGATGGCTGCTTTGACTTGTCCGACCACTGTGAGTGAAGGATCCGCGATGTTGAAGACGTGTTGGTAGAAACCCGAGAGACGCCCGCTGGGCGTCACGGGATCCGGGCGCAAAAATGGGTAAGAAAGTCGATAGCCGGTACCGAAGTGGACTTTCTCAATACCTTCAACTTCACTGCCGTCCGAGAAGTTGACTTTGATGTGTTTGTCTGGTCCAACGGACACGCGTGTGATTTGCGGCTTGAGAACCACGTTGGGGAGTTCCCATGCATCCTTGAGAATCTCATTAGAGCCTCGTTGGGAGACGTAAAGAGGGCCGGAGACGATGCTGTGGATCTCGGAGACTGTGTCAGATGCAGAGACGTTACCGCCGACGACAACTACTTTCTAGAAACCTCGTGTTAGTTATTCCTCTGTTCGATGGGGACTCCGGAGGGATAGAAATACCTTGCCAACGTAGTCTTCAGGAGACCTGTAAGCCTTTGAATGCTCAAATGTTTGAGGTAAAGCAGCAAAAGTCTCTTTCAGTCCGTCAATATTCGGCACAAATGGCACACCGTAGTGCCCGGTGGCTACGACAACTGCATCGAATGTGTCCTGCCACCAGTAATCTCTCGTCTGGTTCTTCAGATAGTGCTGAGTCTTCCTCAGAGTCAACTGCCATTTCTTGCCAACTTTCTCTACACGCTCGACATGCGAATTTAAAGTGAGCAAGTGTGAGAATGGCTCTGCGATCTCTTCGAGGTAGCCTGCGACTTGCGCGTAGGGATGCGTCGGGTTCTTCTTGCCAAAGCGGTTAATGGATGAGGCCGAGTTCACATCTGGAAATGGCTTGTAGGTAAACGCCATGACCTGAGAGCCGACGTTGCTGTCCAGGGCAGGATAGAGACCTGTCCGAGCTGTGACGTTTTCAGATGCAGGTGGCAGTGACTGTGGGAGCTTGGCGGGGATCTCTCGCACAGGCTGTGCTGAGAATGGCGAGAAAGGTTCTGGTTGCTCATCGTATATCCTGAAGGCATACATCAGGATAAGAACACACAAGTGGCGGAGATTGCTTACCATGTACCACCAATTCCTTCTCGTCTATCAAATAATTGGATCCTTTCAAAGGCATTCTCCTCGCTCAAAGCCTTGACAGCTGAGATGCCAGAAGGCCCAGCACCAATCACTACAACACTGGAATATCTAGGAGCCATGTTCGGACGTCAAATGCGAGGGCGACAGTTTGTTGGAAACGAGGAACTAGAGAAGATTGGTTGAGCTTGTTTCGATGCTTTACGCCAAGTGAAGAAACATATACTCTCGAAAGTTCTGACGAATTGGTGTTGCATATGACGTGCTTGCAAAACACTCCGAACAAGATGGAGTGAGCGATAGTCCCACCGAGGGGCTTATCGTCATTGTTTTCAGTGGACATTTGGAATGCATGTTTCATTCGGACACTTATTAATACGGCATATTTACTAAGGCAGTCTTCATATTGCGTGGAGATGTAGGCCGAGATTCAACAGGCCAGGGAAGCAATGCTTCCAGCTTGTACCTTAACTAGGCAGTCGAAAAAACAGTTCTATAATGCAGCAAGCTGCAAAATGTCATAGGAATACTTCATAACTTTTCGCCTTATATCTATCTTTATCTGAGTGACGTGATTGATGGATGCTTGCCACCACCACTTTGCGCAATCCCTCCTTGCAATGTCGCGACAAACCCAGCAGACGGTGACAGGATTGAACGAAGTTTTATCTGTATCTTGCACTCAAGAACATCAAGTGGCTCATTAACACCAAATACTACGAGCAAGTCCTTCTAATCGATTCCTCGGCCACCTTTTGACACATGTAGTATTCGCATGTCAAACCTCACCTCATCTCATCATCTGGTGGTCAAATCAGAATAATTTTAGTCTGCACAACACCAAAACTCTCTTATAACATCTTCGTTTCTCTTTCTACGCAATTCAGAAAGCTTATTCAATAAAATCCTTCAGACTATCGTATGAAACCTGCAGTTCCTCTGGTGTGTACATGCCAGTGTCTTCGGTTGTTCAAGGAACACCAGAAAGGCGGTTCGCCAGGGAAATAGTCATCCAGTACTCGCATATACCTAACAGGTAAGGCAGCTAAAGATTAATGTTCAGATGCATTCAGCCTCAATGGTCATTGTGTTATCAAGAAACTCCAGAAAAAGACAGGTTATTGAAGGTGCACCTTCGCTTGCATTCGTCAAATCGACATATGAAGAATTATCAGTTGTCATCCGGCTCGAGACTCAGGGTCTCAAAAGCCAGCGCCAAGAAAGTTAGAGCACCAATCAAATCTGAATGATACCAGATCTTAAGAGGACATGCATCTCAGGGTTGAATGAGACCCACTAGAAGGTTGTGCGTTGGAGTTTGAATCTCTTTTAGACCTATTTTCTATGCGCATTTCTCGCATATTTTTTACGCTTGCCTGATTTTCCAACTTGAAATCTCATGAAACTACTATCATCATCGCGGATTCTAGGCTCTGAAATACTATTGATAGAGACTTTCATGCTGGCAGGCAGTGATTCTCTCAATGAGACTTGAGATGAGTCCGCAAAACAATCCCATAATTTGTTGTTGTTGTATTTTAACGCCGTAGCGGCAAGGGCGCAGCCGCCCTTGTGGCAGACCTCCCGAAGGGTATATGGCGTGGAGGGCCGTAGGCCTATAGCTATCACTAGATACAGTCCAGCTCGTCCTCCAAATCGTGCCCAAAGGCAACTATGTGTTTAACCTGTCTCTGGGTGCCATAATATGACCCTGGATAAAATATCAACCCAGGCATAATGACCGCTACATATTTGGAGTTCATGGTTTAGTTCAGAACGATTTACTTTACATTCCGCTTAGATACTGGAAGTTTCGGGCAACTTGATGGTGGGGTGACGAATCTAAAGCGCTCGACTGTCACGAGAGGATGCTGAAGCGAAAGAGCGGCGGCTGTGGGCCCAGCATCGGCAGCTTTCGGAAAGGCAATGCTCCACCAACACGTGGCAGCCCGAGTTGATGTGCCCCGCTCCAGCTCCCGCTACCGGCGTCAACCCGGGCCTGCGGTGTGCGGGGCAGCACCTGATTCGATTCTTCAACGGCTCGAAGGTCGACGGAGTATGGGGGCGGCGCTGGGGAACCTTCAGTCCGGGCTGATTACCGAGCCTTGCGTTGTTGACTAGTACCTCCTAAAGTTTGCCAGCCAGATCGAGGAAGCATCAAGCGCGCCGAGTTATCATTGTGTTTGGGCAACTGAAAGAGCTGAAGAAGCAGATCATTAGTGCTTCTTTGTGTAGATAAGTACGTTCTGATGTAGATAAACTGGATAAAGAAACATTACTCATCACCTGGCCGGGCTGTCAAAGTCAAACGCGACCAATGTGACTTATCGTAAACAAATTGTGTACTCATTAGTAGTGAGTTATTAGTAGTGAGATTGCTTTCAGTGGCCTCTGCTGGCGAATTTTTGTCGCAGTTGGCTCGTTCACACCTGGGAAGGCTTTCACATGCGTGATTCGTCCCCTGCAGACGCATGTTTTCTGCCCCAATGAACCCCCCCATCGAATCCCCAAAATGGTCCCCGGCTCAGCCAAACAAAGGAGCTGAAAGCCCAGGGGTGCAAGCTCGAGGTCACATTGTCGCTCCGAGTTTCTGTCTTGGTCCCTTGGAGAAGAGCTGCGGCCTGCAGGACTGCGTTGTGCGAGAGGAGGGCGTTGGACACCGCAAGCCAGTCGGGGAGGCCCGTTGGTTTTGGGCCCTCGGTCTCCCGGCTCCACCCCGGGAAGTTCTCTAGTTTTTATTAGGCAGTTCTGACGGCAAAGACGGGCTCCATAAAAGTCAGGCCACCTCGACCCCATCCGCCTTGAATCATTCCCTCCTTTCTCGGGGCTTCCATCCGTCACTTGACATGCTCTCGTTTTGAGACTTTGCGGCAGCTTGACATGGGAGCCGAGCACTCGGATACGCTTGATACGCTTGAACAGCTGTTACTTTGCTACTTTCCCCTTCCTCTTCGTGCTGGTGCTGGCGCTGTCCGAGGCTATGTTCAAGTAACCGGGCAGCGACGAAAACAAGCAGGAAGTTGCAGTTACGGTTACAACTAAGGTAACTTACATGAACCCCTCACGTAATGTACTCGGCAGGCGAATGTACCACAGTAATATGTGTTGCTCGTGTTACTCGGCGTGATCCTTTCCAAGCCCTGTGCCTCCCCTCCATGTCGAGGGAGCCAACCAACCCGTCCAAGTCCGAGCGTGCTCGTCGGAGGTCCCACCTTGCCGCCGGGCCGCTGTCGGTGAGGTAATCACCTGGGGAGGTTCCCATTGTCCCAAATGGGTCTTTCAGGTATCATCCCCGGGTTGCCTCTAGAATGATAATTTCTGCCCGTTTCTTTGCCGTCATTCCTCGAACTTCCTCTCCTACACATCCTTTTTGTCTTCTTCCTTTTTCCTTCATCGTTTTCATTCCTCAATAGACCAATCTCCTCTTTCTTTACGTTTTCATTTGCGACAGATCGACCACGTATAGAACCAGGCTATCACATCTACAGAATCATAAAAACCAAGTAAGCCGCGACCATCCCCCCCATTACTCGCTCGGGCCAAGATACCCCGCAAAGTCGCAGTCGCATTCACTGACCGGGCCCGCGTGACTCCAGATTCCGAGCAAACCGTAAACCTCACAACAAAGAAGTGAGACTGAATAACACTCAATACACATATCAACGTCTCAAGATAAACCGCCACAATGGTCCTCATCACACGAGCCATCTCCCTCACCAACTTCCTCGTCGCTTCGTCCGCCCTCGGCTTCCAGGTCTTCGTCCTGTACCCATGGCACGAGCAGCTGTCCCACGACTTTGAGGAGCTCAAGAAGGAACACATTCGCGTCCTCGACTATGTCAAGGGTGTCGACGCCGGCCTGAGAAAGGGACAAGGCGGCGCGCCCGCTGGCCAGTCTATTCTGGAGAGACTGGGCTACAAATAAGCGGCGCCAGTCGCTCTCTTTTCGTAGCCCGCGGACTTTTCCTTTTTCTTTTGGGGTTTAATAAGGGTCGGTCTGTCCAAGTTGTCTTTCATTTCCACGATTGCATGCGATACTCCCTGGGAGCGAATTTAAAAAGAGCTTGTTCCCCCAATTTGCAGCAGCCTCTTCATGTGATAATCCCACAACATCTCAGACTGATCTGGTGATTAGCCAATGCTTGAGAGCTCACATTCGACCGACAACAGCCTCACCCGTATGATTTCATCCTCGCGACATCCTCGGATAAGGGAACCCGTGTTATTGAACAGCCGTGCACTCCCAACCAGGCGATAGGGAAAGCCCGAGAAAGGTACAGCTCATCATTCAAGATCGCCTGCCGTAATAGAACTCACTCAAGCCATTGATCGGACAACTAAGCATCACGTGGGGCGAGGCCCGCTTCACTGCCGGCAGATACAGCAGCTCCGGAGCCCGCTCCGGAGCCGCGCCAGCGAATCGACGCGACGATAAGCGATCTAAGCGACTCGATGCATCATAGGTGCCTCACTCAAACACCTTGAGCGATGAGTTTTGAAGCCTTTAAAGCTCGCCTCGCCCCGACTTCAGCCAGGGCGGTCAAGAGGGAACGATCGGCACGTGATTCGATCTCACTCACCTCGAGGTCGAATGGGCGAGGCTCTCATCTCACACATATGCCTGGAGAGCTCTAGCTCGTTCTTGTGAGATCGAAGTCGGACTAATCAGCAACGCAATCATTCTTCATCACGATGGATCCACGAGGCTCATGGTCGCAACTAGTGTCTCATTTGATCTCATTCAGCCTGACCAAGTCGTACTGCTCAAGCAATTGGCAAGTCTCAGCTACCTATGCTAGGGTATCGCGAATTCCAGAGCAAAGCATCAGTTCTCATGGGCCATTCCCCCGTCGTTGCCCTTCCATATCAGCATTGTAACGCCCCGAAGCTGCTTCTTCTTCGATCCAACCCAATTTCATCACGCGACTTGTAACTCCTCAATTGGCAAATCATTCTGAATGTGTCGCTAAAAGAACGCCATCGTGGCAATGTCGTGCTGCTCGACTAGGCGTAGCTCTCGGCCTCAGGGGGCCAGGTGGCGACCCAGGCGACGCCGAAAATGAGAAGCCACATGATGAGCCAGGTGGCATAGCGACCGCCGCTACCAAAGCCGATAATGCTACCGACGAGAATGGCGGCGTGGATGAAGGCGGTGACGAGTAGGAAGATGTCAAAGTGCCAGCGACCCTGGGAAGAAAAAAACAAGAATTATTAGCTGTGGTCCTCTCATCTCACCAGACTCCACCTCATCTCAGAAAAGTACTTACGACCACAACGCCCAAAACCTTGCGACGACCCTCGGCCTGGCCAATGACGGCAAGGGCCCAGGCGATGAAGAGGAAGCCCAAGATTCCGAGAATAATGTCAATAATCAGACTGACGATTTGGGCGTTGGTAACGTCGTGGACGATGCCGACAATGGAGATGGCCGTGCGGATGCCGAGAATGATGATCATGCAAATGCGACGAAGGAGCACAGCCTTGTCGGAGGTCTTGAGGTTGTACGACTCCCAGGAGAAGGCCCAGCAAGTACGCATGTTGGGGCACATGCGGTTCTGAAGGCTGCTCTGGCCGGCGGTGCCACCAGCGGTGGCGCCCTGCTGATCGCCGTAGGCCATGATCTCGCTGTTGCTGAGGCCGAGAAGGGGCTCAAGCTCGTCGTCCGAGTCGGAAGTGAGGTCGCCGGACTCGAGGGTGGTGCGGTAGGTGATCTCGGGCCAACCGCCAAAGTAGAGAAGAGCGGGATCAGTGCCGGGGGGCGGGGGGAAGATGAGCTGCGAAGGGTGAGGCATGTTTGCGCTTCTTATATCCCCTCACAGACGGGTAACGGCCTCAAGCGAGATGGGGGTAAAAGAAGATTGTCTTGGTGTTTGCGGATGGGGATCCTTGTGCTACGTGGCGCAGCGGAGGTTGTGCGAGGGTGGATGGTTTGGGGGTGGTGATGGGTGGAAGAAGAGGATGGTTAGTTTCACTGCAGGGGAGGCTTGCTAGCTTCGCCCAGGAAATCCATGGTGGGTTTGTTTATTATTATTTTTCTCAATTGAGCGAGAGCTATCATGGTCTTCTTCTTGAAAAAGTGAGTGCAATGACTCGAAAGTCCAGTTGCTCTCGCCTTTTGGGGTTGTTGACGATGCCATCACGACTAAGCGATGTTGTGACTTTCGAGCGGGAGACGGGAGTTGTCAAGTCTGGCTTGTGACCTCCCGACCTGGGATTCTGCAAGATAGCAAGTACTACCTCCATTCTGACAAAGAACTCAACTTTACCAAGTGGTTGCGGAGTAAATCGTTTCATGCCGGGTCACAGCAGCTACAATCTTTACCGCAACCAACACAGACAAAGACTCTCAAAGTCTGTTCATTATCTTTGGAGTTGAATCCTTGCTGTTGGCTTTACCCGTGTAAGCCACCAAACTGCATCCACATGGACCACCACCACAGACTGCATGGGACCGTGGCCCTTCAACAATTTTTAAGCTTAATCCAACTATCAATAGTCAAGCCACCGCGGATCAGGAGTTGTCTCTAGGCACCTATCTGACAGCTCATGGTCATGGATTAAGGTAGGCGAACGATAACCCCTCCATCTCGACTCTCGATGTTGAGAATTTGGGGCCTGAGACGCTTTGATTTCAGGGGATCGGACCCTCAACTTGGCGACTCCAGCCCTGTCAACTGCGGGGGCTCTCATTAGGCAGCGGCACTCGGAAGTTCTGGCGCCTTGGCATATGATCCTCACGACCGGGCAAGGTTTGTAATTGCCTACACCCGCCACATCCTGAATCCTCCAGTGAGGTATCCCCAGCAGACATTTGCTGTTCTTGGAGTGCAAGTGTGCTGCCTAGGTGTCGATAAGTCCTGAAGTAGGACTTGGAACGAGAAGAGCATGAGTCACCCAAAGTTCTAGTCCGGGATTCCATCCTGGGCGACCAAATGTTGCAGCGCACTTACGGAGTAGACAGGATTTCCATGTCCCTCTTACGGACATGAACTCCGACTAGTAGAACGAGCTTGCCTTCCAGAAACATCACCGTGGCCAAGATATATCGAGGCATCGGGGTTAGCCGGCGAGCTTCATACCTAATGCCCATAATACGTCCGCACGGCGGCACCGGGATCCCGGCTCACACACCCCGCCCCGCTTACCGGAGCTCGGAAAACGCGGATGCAGAATGCCGGTTACATTGAACGATGATCTCTTTTCGCTGGTTGTGACTTCTTGGAGTTAAGTAAGTAGTACACTACAGGCAAATACTTGACCGAAAGATACGAGGTTGGAGCGCTTTAGAGCCTCATGTTTTGGGTAGGAGACTCACATATGTGAAGTATTCTGCGTGAAGTCCGTTATGCGAAGTCCGTTATGTGAAGATCGACGTAGACAACAAAAGCATTCACATGTGAATATGATGAGACGAATGGAGAACGATTCAAATATGAAATTTATAGCATTATTCTTCGACGAAAATCTAATAGCAACGTGTGAATGCTTGCTGGCAAAACCCAAAACCTGCTCTGAAAATGGTATACGTAAATATTCTGAAACAATCGACTTTCTCCTTCAGTGTCTCGTAAGCCTCTATGCTGAGGCAGTCTTCTCAATCTGGCTGACGTCCGCCTCCTTCTCGGAAATTCTATCAGTGGAGTGAGCTCCATGGGTAAGCCCAGCAATCTCCGTCTTTCTGAACTTGCGTGCCGGAACGCGCTGGTCAAAGAGGATCTCAAGCTCGCCGTACGTGCGGCCTCTGGGCTCAGGTAAACGGAACCAAGTCCAGACGAAGCAAATAGCGCAGCTGACCGCCCAGAAGAAACCGCTCTTGGCGCCCCAGTTCCACGCAGAAGGGTTGAGCATCAGCGGGGTAAGGATGTTGGTCGTGATGCCGGTGATGTTGTACAGGTTACGTGCGAGCACGACAGTCTTGGTCCTCAGACGGGTCGAGCTCAGTTCGGAGACGAGGGAGTAGCAGACGGGGCCAACGGTGCAGTCGTACATGAAGGTGTAGACGAGAAGCAAGCTGCCGATGGCCCACTGTGCGGCGACGTTGGACTTTCCGGCCAAGGAGGCGAAGCCGATGCATGCGAGGATGGCGCACATGATGCCCTGGCCTGAGAGGTACAGGGTGCGTCGGCCAAAGTGCTGCATCAGGAACCACGAGAAGACTGTGCCGAGAGCACCGAGAGCGTATTGGGCCAGGGACATGGTGAATGCGTTCTCCTTGGCCATGCCGGCTTGCTGGTAGAAGTATGTCGAGTATCCCATGAACGTCGAGCCGCAAAGAGTCTGGATGGCCCATGTGAAGCACACAATCTCGGTACGGCGGAGGTCGCTTCCCTTGAAGCAGTCGATGTAGCTTGTTCCGCTCTGCGCGGCCTTCTCGAGCTCGTTGGTGTGGACCATCATGGAGATGGTCTCGTCGGGGTTGAAGCTTTGCTGTTGGTTGCGGCTGGTGAGGCGAATGAGAGACTTCTTGGCGTCGTCGAGGCGCTCTTTGCGGATGAGCCACCATGGTGATTCAGGGGCGAAGAAGATGCCGATCATGAGGGGGACAGGCCACATCCACTGAAGCGCAAAGGGAATCTTGTATCCCCACTCGTCAGTACGGCTGATGACGCCTCGAAGGACACCGCTGGCGATGAGTTGACCCATGACCCAGCAAAGGTTGACGTAGGTAGTCTGAATAGAGAGTTAGTGATCAGCCGCCATGGAGAGATTTCGCGGTAACATTAGACTTACAAGATAGGCGCGCAGGTGTGTGGGGCAGACTTCGGAGGCGTAGGTAACGGTCAGGGTCTGGAAGATACCCCATGGAATACCGATGAGAATCTCTCCGATCAGGAGCTGGACAAGGGTCTCGGAGAAGAAGATGATGAAGATGAAAGCCGTGACACCAATGAGGCCACCAATCATGGTCTTGCGGTAACCGAACCTCTCGGCAATAATACCATTGAGGAACAGACCCGTGATCTCACCGACGAGCGCGCCGTTGCTGAGACTAGCCTGCCACGCCGCTGTCAACTGATAGCTGCCGTCGGGCTGGACTTCACCAAACTTTCGCTGGAAAACATCGTAGGCGTAGAGGTTGCCGATGAGGGTCTTGTCGAAACCCTCCATGACGACGGCGGTGCTGAAGAAGAGCGACCACATGACGGCCTTGGGGTAGAGCTTGAGCGATTGCATGAGGCCCATGTTGAGCTCAGCTTCAGTCGCGTTGGCCGCCTCACGGGCGAGCCCGGCGGCGTCGGCGTCGGCGTCGGCGATGGACATGCGGCGTGTGGCATCCGAGTTGATCTGGACCGTTTCGGTCGGCGCGGATGATCCGATGTGCACCATGATTGCGGTGTACTGGGGTAAAGATGGGGATGGATAAAGATTGTGGGTTCAAGCTCGATCTTATAAGATCCGAGCAGGTAGCTTGAGACTCCTATCAATGGGAGTCAGAGATGCTCGAGCTTGATTTGTTGTCAATCCCAATGAAGCAGCTGAAGCTGCTGTTCTGAAGTTGTGTTGAGACTGGGGATATCAGATCATCTTATATCTTCCCTGGATGTTTTGCTCGATCAACCTGATGCTATGCGCCGAGGAGAAGATGGTGATAGTTCTACCGGAGAAGCAAGGTAGTCGGTTAAGCGGCGCGGCTTCTCACTGGCTCGCTCAAATTCAATTCCAAGGTGGCGGAAAGAAGGTATGTATGATGTTGACGTTATGGACCATCCGTGTCTTAAGCTGCCGCACTTCAATGCGAGAAGACAGAACCAAAGACCCCAAGGCTTCCTTTCCGCCCTTCCCCCCCTAGGACCCAAGGCTTGGAATCCGGGACTAAGGACCACGCTATGCTCCACTTTCTCCGCGACCCATTGGCTCGCGCGGGGAAGTTGCGTCTAGCGATGGATGGTCTGGGGTTGGAGATGCAGCGTGGTTGGTACGTGTTTGCTGGTTGGGGATTGACAGCGAGATGTCTCGAACGGCTGGGTCGCATATGGATGTGGATGGGTCAAGTATTGGAAAGGAAAGGGGTGGGAGGGTCACGGCAAAAGGAGAAGAAACCCACATCACACAAAGTACGGGATAGCAATGCTTAGACTTTAGCGGACACTCTTCGCCTCACCCCAAGGCCCAAAGAGAGAAAATCTGTCAGCCCAAAACTCAAAAAGACGAGACCACAGAGTGAGACGGTAGTGCCAGCTGGATGTCTAGACTTGCCGTAGAAGTGTTCGCCGGCGACTCCGCGTACATCCCTGCGCACATGTGGCGTACCTGATGCTGCTTCGGGTCGACGAGCCTTTCTCATCAGGGAGTAGCTTGGCAAAGATCCAGTGCAAGAATCCATGTCTGACGAATGGCAGCACAGAGAACATTCGGCGTTTCCACCCACCGGCAATTGGGGCGAAGATTTCTGCGAGATTTCGTATGGCGGACCGGCCAATAGGTCTTCTTACCTGACGTCGCTGAAACTAGGCATCCCTGCCACAGACAAACACTTGCAGATGGGATGATTGTCGCTGTGGGTGTTCTGGGGTTGGCGTTGGTCGCTGCCGTTGGTTCAATTTTCTTTCTTTACGATACTGACAGTTTGGGGGCGAGCCAGAGGAGAGATCTGGCAGCGATCGACCCCCCATCGAGTATCCCACTATTGCCGAACGTGTGCCATACCAATTACCAACAGACAAGCGGCTTTTCTTAGAAACCGCCTGATGATGATCGAACGGCGAACGGCAGCGTTCTTCCCCGCGTAGCCTCCCGCAGATACATCAAGGATAATGCGGGACTTTAGGCGGGGATTGGCGCCAGAGTTCCG